ACTAAGATCTAGACTCAAGTTATCTTTGCACATGCTACAAAAAGATGCAAAGGTAAATAAGAGGCTTTTACTGTAAGTGAGATGGGACACTGGAGGTTCTGGTCAGAAGGTTAATCTGTTGTTACGTCCCATCCTAATATGCTTTCTTATATGAGTGTTTTAACATAACTTCTTGGGTTTATGCCTAAATGAAGATTCATTTAATTTTAGGTGTGTGGTTTTTTTTAGTTTAAACAATTAAGGTAGCTGTATTCTTAAATTACAAATGTCCTTCTCACTTTCTTTTACCTGCATTCTTTTCCCCCTGAATCTCATAAATGAGCTGAGATGCAGAGAGTTTCATGGACCCATGTCATTCCATGAAAAAGTTGTCTTCTGTAAGAATAGCTCCTAATAAACATGTTCCTTTGCATACATCCATCTCCCAAATCCTCACAATACAGCAGGCTAGTTCTTCTGGCTTCCATCTTTAAAATAAGGAAGCCAAAGATCAGAGAAGGTAAACCATTTGTCTGAGGTCACTTAGCTAGTGAATGGTGGAGCCAGAACTGAATCTAGGCCTTGTGGTATTACAGCAGCTAAGACCATCTCAGAAAGGCATTCCATTGACTAGCATGTAGGGTTTGAGGGCTCACTTTTGTGAGCTAGCCCTACATCAACATTGTGCCTATTGGAATGTCACAGCCACAAAATAATACACTTTCCTCTATCTTGTCAACTGCCATCTCTGGCCCTCACATGCTGTCAAAAGTGCCTCTTCAATCTGGGCTTAAAATAACTTGGTGTCTTTGTCCTTTTCAGACAGCTGCCAGCCCTTCATTCTCATCAGCAGACATGCCAGGCGATTTCCTCTAAGCTCGTAGAGACTAACCTGGTGTGGAATGGTGGGAGCCTTAGAGATTCTTTTTGTTCCCGTGCCAGAGCTTCTTAAGATTTTTTGTTTTGTTTTGTGTATGCATGTTCTGATATTGTATGTCACTGTCTGGCTGACGTATCTATCCTGAAGACCCAGACTGGTGATCTCTCTAGCAATGCTGAGTAGACATATCCTTTCCTATCTCTGTGATTCTAGTGATATGAAAAGCAACTGGATACATAGACTGATCCACAGTTTGCATTGACCCTTGTTCTGCCTCTCTAGGAGCAATAGTATACTTGATTTTAATGAAGTGAATGACCTCGGACAAGTCTCCATTTCTGCAAGGGGGTGGAAGTGAGGCGCTTTCCATAAATAAATCTGTGAGTTTTGGACTAATAACTCTTCTTCCATAAATAATAATCTGTAGAATATTATTTGTCCATTGCAGCTTTCAGGGCTTCCATAAAGCATTTTGTCACCAGGACTCCTGCAATCTGTGAGAGAAGTTATAGGCATCAGAACTTTAAATTCAGTGCTCACATTTTGCAAATAAAGAAACTCAACCCCCCAGGAGGTGCAGGGACTTAACTGCAACCCATGCAAATCCAGGACCAGAATATGCGACTCAACCCCAATTGAGAGGCTTTTGTACATATTACTTCCAGCCCCCAGGTCACAAACCATCTCTCCTGATTTTTTTTTATGGGCTCTAATTTATTCATTATGGTGAAGCCATTCAGCAAAAAAGTGTGGTCAGTTTTTTTCCTCAGCAAATTCACACAAAGTTGAAGACACTTTCTCTGGCTAAGAATACAATTGATCCGAAAACACCCACAATTTCAGACTTTCAGAGTAAAGTGCCTTGTTCAAAGTCATCAGACAAACGAAGGACAGAGCCAGAACTGGAAGCGAAAGCTTCAGAAACACACTAGAAAATAATGGATGGTTACAGGCTATCCATACAGCTTTTCTGGCTTCCTAGAGTCCAGGTGGACTCCCACACTGTCAAATTGATTGATTGAAGCATCATTGTTAAGATGTTCTCAAATCCCCAGCACATGGATATGGCTGCACGCTGGTTTCTAGGTCAGAACAGAGAACTTCCTCCTACGAACACCAGCTAAAGATGAAAATGAGACCCTAATGAGTGAGTTTCATGAGCACTAGAATATAAGTAAAGAAAATGGAGGCAGACAGAAGAGAGAGCTTGGATTTGTTTTCCATGGGATTTTTTGGCTCTCTCTTAAACAAATCTGACCTTAGGTATAAGCTTGCCCTTTACAGGTCCCAACTTCCCTGGTTATAAAATACATGTTTGGCAACTGCTCTGAAAGTTATTAAAGTTGCAGCAGTAAACTATGGGAGACCAGAGAATTCCAGACAAAACTTATTGCATCAGTAACTCAGAAACTAATTCCTAAAACTCTTGACACATTTATCCAGAGGGCTAGTGCCAATATAGAACTGGAAATCATTGTCAAGAACCCCTGTGTACCTGGAATTAAAATCCATCATTCCTCGGAGCAGGGAGAGACAATTCTTGGCAGAATCTGAATAGTCATGCCTTTCACCATCATCTTTCCTCAAAAATAAGTCCCTTTATTTTTCAGAAGAGCAAGAAAATTTCTAATTTTTTTGTTTGTTTTCATAAGAATCCCTCATTTACATTTCCTTTTCAAAGATTTCTTCTGTTGACAGCCCCACATTTAAACCAAGAGGCCTCCTTGTCCTTATTCAATTACACTGGTTTTATTTTGGATAGAAAACCTGCTGGGTATAGTAACAGAGAACAAACTTTACAACAGCAATAATCCCTTCTACAGCCTCTATTGTGGGGAAACAATGCACTTTTATTAAGTGGTTGAGGCATTGGCTCCAGTGGTCTGAATTAACTACAGAAGAGTATAGTACACTAACAAAATTACTCTCTTCACTCAGCAGACTCCCAGTGCCTGCCGAGCTACATGGCAGGGACCAGAGACTCAAAACTGCTCTCTTGGAGGCCCACGGAAGGACCAGTGATTGCCTCAGGCAACACCTTTGTCAGGGAAAGCTAGCAAAGATGAAAATGAGACCTCTGACTCGCTGTTGGAGGGCTGACAACATGCCTCCGTGTTTTAAATGTCGTACCCCTTGACTCAGGCCCTGTGTCCCAAGGCAGTAGCTACAGAAGTACACAGGGCTGGCTTCAGCGTGGTGTACAAAGGAAAAATGAGGAGCAGAGCACAAATCATTAAAAATGCAATCATTGAACTGGTCCTGTAATCTATATTTATTGTCTCATAATAATAAAACATGCTGAGACATGTCATTGAGTGGCAGGGTGCAGCCACAGAGCACGTGCCGTGCGCTCTCATTTACTTAGAATTATAACTGAAAGGCTGTTCACTGAGGTGTTGACAGTGGTTGTCTCTGAATAATGACTTTGAGGTGACTTCTTTATCCACTTTCCTGAGCTGTTGGACTTTTAACATTTTTCATAATAAGCATCACTTTATACTTGTGGTGGAGGGTGCTTTAAAATGTTTTAAAACAGAAAGCTAGTCTTTCCCTGAATTCCTTAGCACTTGCACTGCTCTACCTAAGCCCAATGTAGTGGTCAGGCCACAGGAAACACTATGATGAGTTCATACGTGTACAGAGTCCCCTGTTATCTGCAGGTGTATATTCCACGTGGATGTCCGAAATCACGGATAATACTGAACCTTATATACTGTGGGGTGTGTTTTTTTTCTGTACATCCCCATGATACAGTTTAATTTATAAATTAGGCACAGTAAGAGATCAACAACAATAACATAATAAAAGTAGAATAATTATAACAATATGGTGCAATAACATTTATCTGAATGGCTTTGGGGCTGTTACTAAGGGTGACTTAAGCCAACGCTGTGATACCATGACAGTCGGTCTGACAACCAAGATGGCTGCCAAGTGACAAATGAGAAGGTAGTGTTCACAGCATGGATACGCTTCACAAAAGGATGATGCACATCCTGAGTGGACAGAGCAGGCCAGGGTGAGATTTCATCAAGCTACTCAGAACACCACACAATTTAAAACTTAATGCATTGTTTATATCTGGAATTTTCCATTTCATATCAGTAACTGTTACTACAGAAAGCAAAACCATGGATAAGGGCAGATTGCTGCATACATATAGCAAAACTCATCAATTTACACATTTTAAGTCATCAAATTATACATTTTTAGTACATGTGCTCTATTGTATATCGATTACACCTCAATAAAATTATCTTTTAAAAGGAAAGAAAATATGAACTAGTCCATATAATTTCAATTCTCCACATAAATTGTCAAAATAGCTATATATTTCTTTAAGAACCTGAGTCATTGTTGGGAAGCAAATTTGATGTTCCAATCAATGACAGAGCCTGTTCCCAGAGGTTAATCGCCTGAGTGAGGTGTGAAAATGTTCATTTAGCAGATTCTCTGTTACCCACCGTGGCAGTGTCCTTGGTTATAGATGGATGCAGAGCTTGCCGTTTGACCTGCTTTTGTCTTTTTCTGTTTGCACCTTTTTGCAGAGTCCACGTCAATCTTAGGTACCTCTACCCCAAAATACATGCTTCAGTGCACTTTAATTTTCCTGCAGTAAATAAATAGCTCTTGCAAGCTTCCCTTAAGTAACAATATAGCAAACCTGAGGATCCTGAGACTTTGGGGATCATAGAAAATTCTGAAAACCAAGTATTCTTTCCAGAGACAATTATGAATAGACAGATAAATGTTTTAAAGGCTGTTCCTTCACTCTGCTGCCAGTTTTTCTCAAGTATATATACTCTTTTCCTGTAAGACCAGCTACTGAAATATCTCACAGGTCTGTAACTGCCTAAAGAGAATATGGGGGGGAAGTGGGGAAACAAACAAACAAAAAACGCCAATGGCCACAGTGAGTTTGGAAATTGGGTCTCTGAGTTAACTGGACAAGACAGAACAAATGCCCTTGTGCTGCTCTCAGGGCATCTCTCCTGCAAGCCACGTAGAGCTCCATCTCTTGTTGGCAATGCCCTTGGAGAGTGTGGGCCCTGACACCACTGCAGGGCAGGCGCTCTCTGCAGGTTAGGCTTGCTTCTCATCCCTGTTTTCTGTGCTTCTCCTTCGCTTTCTATGCCACCAGCTGGACAGTGCTGCAGGGAAGAATTGGGCGCCCAGAGAACCCGTTCCGAGTGGCCCTGGAGTACATTTCAAGTGGAAACCGAAGCTTGTCTGCAGTGGACTTCTTTGCCCTGAAGAACTGCAGTGAAGGTAACTGGGTCAGGCTTGCCCCTTCACCCCTCCATAGCTTGTTGTCCTAAGTGTGTCAGTAACCGCCATCATGGTTAGCTGGGAATGCATGCACTTATCTAGAAAAGTCTACAGTGCTTAGGGCTGATTCTGAACATCATCAAGTGCTTCACAGCCCAGATGGTTGGTTTTTAAAGATCTAATGTAACATTATATCTGCCTAACTTAAAACTTCATTGCACAGAATACAGTCTTTATTAGATAACATATTAGCTTCAATTCTCTGGCTGTTGAATGATTTCACTATCTTAGATTTTTATGGTGGAAAATTTCAAATGTACACAAATGAATAGAATAATGCAACAAACCATCAGAAACCCCCCACCCAGTTTCAGTAATTACCCACATTCTGCCAGCTCTTCCAACTCCTCACCCCGCCAACTTGATAATGATTATTATACTTGGTTTTTCCTGAGGCAAAACTTATTACTAAGTATTTTTTAATGATTTGATTTAAGCTATTATTTAGGGACAACATGGGAAATGGTTATTTGTCAAATTTTTCACTTATTTTGTAAAAACCATTGGAGCATGGTCCCCTGTGTCATTGAATTCCTTTGGCTTTAAGTCCCACACTGTGAATTTATTTCGAGATGGCATCTCTCTCCTGAAGCATAATTGATTGGGTTGGGTTTCTTTCTGCTTTTTTTTTTTTTTACCAGGAAACTCTGAACTAAATCACAGTAATTCTATCCATGTACTTTTTTGATAAGTCTATTTCCCCCTCCCTCTACAGAATTTTTGATTTTGCATTTTTATTTTCAAGATTATATTTTATATGTATCTCTTTATTAGCTATTGCCTCGATTCTGATTGGTAAGCAGAATGAAATGGATCTTAAGTAGATACAGAAAGCAAGTTTACAGCTGTTTGCATGGAAAATTATACAGTAATTGATAAATAATAATACACAAATAAACTCTGTGTTTTGCATATCACAATTGTAAACCTTCTTTTGCCCTACCCTGTATATGAGGTTGATCTTCCCTTGATCTTCAGAAGGCCTAGCATCATGATTATAAACGTCCTTTGTTGTTTTGCACATGCAGAGGGCATAGAGACGAGTATAGGAGAATCTTCGGAAGGAAGTTGATTTCATTACTGTTATTTTCCTGCTGGGTCTGCTCTGCTCAGAGGTACCCTGGGAGGGAGCTTTCACATGTGCCAAGGAGTTTGTGGTCTTAGAACCACAAGAAGGATGTGTGGACAGGAAGGAAGCCCGTGGCACTCGCAGTCCTAAAGTCTTCATTTAGACTGTTCATGAACAACCATGAAAGCCCTTAACACACGGCCATCTGTTTCATGTAGAGGCCTGGTGTTAAATCTCATGCCTCTTGGAGCTTGTGTGTGAAAGAGACTCCCTTAGGTGAGGAACTAACCTTCCAGCACCTTGTGCTGCTGTGTCTCTTCACTCATTGCTTGTTTTGCAAGAATTTACAAAGTATGTGCTTTTTTTCTTCTTCTTCTTCTTTAATCAAAACTGGTTTATGTGTGGGGGACGGCAAAATCACCATAATATGATAGATTGACATTCAGTTCAAGTTGAAAGGGTGGGTAACCTGTGATGTGAGGCAATGTACAGGAAACATGCGGTTTGGGAGTAAGCCAGGAGCTTGCACAAATGTTTCCGCACTCACAAACTTGGGGATTTGTGAGTGCCTCTGGACATCATCAATCCTCACAGATGTCAAGGACCCATGTACCGTCCAAAAGAGGCCAAAAGGGAGCTAGTTTACAGGAATGTGACAGGCAGAGGTATCATTTCCCAGAATTGGCCTAACCTTATTTGAGCAACATCAGGAGAAGGGAATAAGAGCCTACAAATCTCCAGGCTCAGCACAATTACACCTGCAAAAAAAAGTATTTGTACCTTTGATCAAGGATCTCACCCAGTCATACACACTTTTTTTTTCTAACTTACTCTACAACTTGCATTCACCTACAAAACGTGTCCTCTGTAGTTTATGTTGCATTTGCAGAGAGTTTGTTGTAGGGTTTAAAAGACCTGTCTCTTATCTGTTTCTCTACTCTTGTGAAACCAAGAGACTTGACCTCTCTTACTTTCTCTAATGATCCAGAAAGTGTTTCCACTGGCTGGACACATTCTTAGCAGAAGGAGAAAAGCAGTCTGCCTCTGATTCTCTAGGGAAGGTGGATTGGTCAAGAGTCATAGGAGTATCCTAATGGTCCAGCTCCCTTCCGTCAGAGGCTCCAGCCCAAGAACAGATGGGCCCCATGGGGAATCAGATGATCTCTGCACTCCTTCTCTGGCTTGGACTCTTGTGGTCACCAAGGGGTGTGAAGGGATCAATGTGAATGTGTAAGACAGAGAGCAGAGAAGAATATAGTAACCCCAGTGTTTCCTGAGCATTTCTAACTCTTTCTCCCAAATCAGAATAAATTCAGGCACACATTCAAGGCCTATTTGATGTAGACAAATGTCTATGCTTTCTGAGGTCATTACTTTGGTTAGGTCATGAAGACCAGGAGAGAAGTTGTATCTTTGAGAAGCGTGAACAGGGCTGGTGAAAGGCTCGCCGGGATTGTAGGTTTAAGATGTCCATTCTACTTTGTCCAAAAGCTGCTCCCCAAATGGCATCCCTGACTTACATTTAATTTACATCAGAGATCTTGAATAGTTGCTCCATTTGTAGAAATTTCTTCCTCCAAACTATTGCTAATGTGCCTTTCTCACAAAGATCATAGCGTGAGCCCTTTCCAACGCTTATTTGCCATAGACTAGCTATCTTCACATCAGAAGGGACATTGAAGGTCTCCCCCAGAATAGCATCATTTAGACTAGGAATAACATTATGCTAATAGTTTCCCAAAATTAACCTCCATCATAAGGGTCATTGAGAAGATGGCTATGGAGGTGCATTATAGCTTATGCCCTGAGTTTCCGGCCCCTTCTCGGCCTCCCCTGGCCTGAAACCTTAAAAAACAGAGCTGTTCCCTCCATGCTGCTCAGTTTCTTGTGGAGAAAATGCTACTCACAAAAATAAATTACTCTTCTGACTCCTCCTACAAAGCCTTATGAAGTTTACACCAAGGGGGCTCTTGGTGTACACCACAGCATTGCCAACCTGAGACTGGCACTGAGATGGCTCTCTGGGCTGGTCACTTCAAGGGACTGGGTCATCTCTGCAGTAATGGGATCTACTGCTTGGAAGTGAAAGCAAAGAGGAATCACAGCCACAGCCTCGTGTCCTCATTTAATTCTCAGTGTGCCCCCCAGGTAGAGAGTGAACCCTGTTTTCAAAACACTCTACGTCTTAACACTCTCTTTCTAAAACTTCCTGCCCGTAGTTTATCTGTGGACTGTACTGTTTGGAAGATAAACATTAAAATGATGATTTCATCCAGCCACTGAGATCTACTCACATTCCCCCAACACCTCCCCACACCATGCCTTTGTCTGGCCACGGCACACGAAGCGTGCTCTCTCCCTTTGCCTTGCCTTCTGTCTTTCCAAGTCCTGCACTTCTTTCATACCTCAGCTCAAATGCCATCTTTTCCAAGCAGTCGCAACTCACAATTACTTTCATGCATTTCTTTCTTACCAGAGTTACGTATGTGCCTCGCTCAATAGATGCTATGTTCCTGGAATCAAAAATGGCATCTTCTTTTTTAATCTCTGCATTCAAACTACTAAAAACTACCAGTGCTTTTCTCCTGGTCTGCACTGAGTAAAGATATTCCTGTTACACGATAGGAGAGAGACTGCAGCTTTGGAATAAAACAGAATGAGGATGGAATCCCAGCTCCATCACCGACCATCCTCTGAAGCTTAGAAGAGTTTTTTAAAGTCTATAAGTTTTGATTTTTTTCATCAGTAGATGGGGCTAATAATACATAGTTATAGGTCTGTTGGGGAATTAAAACTGATGTTGTGTGTAGAACCCCTGGCACAGAGCTAGAACCCCCAGTACAGAGCTCGACACAATAAATTCTTATTGCCCTCTCTGTCCTGTGTCCCTGCCTGAGCTGAATGTCCTCCCTCTGAAACCAGGGCTGACTAATCCTGCACAACTACCTGGGTGTGTTTGCAGGCTCATTCCCACATCTCACCTTCTGTCCGGGCTCTGTCTGAGCCGACGGGCCAGGGATAGGTTACTACTTTCCCATCAGAGACTAACAGCCCTGATCCACGTTCTGAAGCTGCAGAGTTCTCTTCCCTATTCCCTACGATCTATGCTTTTATCTCTAATGAAGTCATTTTTTTGTGGCAGGGTACACAAAACTCATTGTGTAATGAAAAGGAATATGACTGTTTAATCCTGTGGAGATGGTTGGAGGCCAGGGAAGAGCCTAGAAAGTCCTTCAACCTGCTTACCGCACAGCCCTCCTCAGGCTGAACTCGTCTAAAACAGCAGGGCCATAGCTGGTGGAACAAGGAGAGGGTTTTGCCAGTCCCTCCTTTTCCTGCTGATGTTACTGCTGGTGGCAGGGAGTCTCTAACTTTGGGAGAGCTTATTCGTAATTACTAATAAAGCCAATACAAAGTGCTTGGGAACAATAATGATTGCTTGAGCCACTGTTTCAAATATCTAACTGCTGGAAATCACCCAGAAATGGGGTTGGGGGGAGGGGGCAGACACCAAGGTTTTTAAATATAAATAAATAAGGACCTAGTGTGCTGAGGTCATTGTACTCCACAAGAAAATTACTTTCAAATTACATCTACATAAAAGAAATAATTGAAAAGATTAATCACAGTGAAATAATTGGTCTATTTTACAAGTAATTTGGAGCAATATTCAGTCATTGACATCAGTGTCTAGTGGTAAAATAGTAATGAATTTCATTCTCTAATGTATTTATTTTATTAATGGTGCTAAATGGTGTTGTTACTGCTTATAAATATTTCATAACTTTTAATTCATCAAATGTTCAAATAATTTCTAAAAGCATTTATTAGCTTTAAGTAACTCAGTATTCAATACGCGATTGACACACTG